TGAGCACTTGCAGCGCGTGGTGCCCGTGTGCGTGAGCGTGGCTGCGGCTGTGACGTGCCCTGTCCAGGGTGGCCTGGCACCCGCCTGCTGCCCAAGCTGCCTGGACGGCTCTGGCCCTGCCGCTCTGAGCCGGAAGACGAGCAAATGTGGGAAGGCAACTCGTTTCGCTTCAGCATCTGCGGGGTCCGACATGTTCGGTGCTGTTGTGGCCAGAAGCATGTCATGGGAACGTGACTCCTGTTTGTCACTTAGCCTGGGGCACAGGGGCCTGTGGAACGCCATTCCCCTCAGGTGGCGAGACTCAAGTGTGTGGGACTCTCTGGGAGACACTAAGCGACGTCCTGCTGTCCTTTGCTTTTGAACCAGACCCCAGCCCTGGACTCTGGCCGGCCGGGTCCTGTGCCCGGAGGCCGCTACACCGTGGCCGGTCTCCTGCCCCGTCACTGGCAACAAGGGCAGGCCCGGCCCAGCCCCGGGGAGACCCAGGCAGCCACTTTCTCCCTTGAGAGCGAGACCAAGGCTGTGGTTTGAGGAAACATCTAGTCCCTCTGTTTGCGTTTGGAATTCAAACATGAAAAGCCGCAGGAGGTCTGCAAGTCCCCGCTGACACCGGTTGGAGACATTTCAAGGCTGGACCAGCTGTTTGTCGACTGTTTCAGAGCAAGGGGGTGGGGGCCGCAGGCCTGCGTCGCCTCCAACACTCTGCTCAGCGGCACGGGAGCCTTTCTGCTCGCGGGGCCCTCCCAGGGACCCCTCCTCTGCTGTTTCTGCAGCTGAGCCCGTCAGGCCCGTTTCCGAGCACCCAGTGAGCTGTGTGGCGTCGCCCGCAGGAGACAGGGGCCCTTGGGGACCTCCGTGGAGGGGCCACCGTATTGGTCTTCCTTCACGTCCTCTGCCACCAATGGCGGCTTCTCCTTGAGGCCTCGGCAGGGACCAGTCCTGGCTTTGGGGACACTGATAATCTTTTAAATTAGGGGACCTTCTGCAAGGTAAAGAAGACAAAATACCTTGATTGGCCAAGTTTTCTGATCATGTGGTCATGACCAGGTGCCTCCCAGGTCAAGTCTGTGCCCACAGACCTTAAAGTTCACGGACACAGTGACGACCTTTCTGGGGTCTTGGCACGGATGGTGCGTCCTCAGGCGCTCTCCTTGCCCCAGAGACCAAGCAACTTCCGTCGCTTCTGTCTCCCCACCAAGCCGACACTGCACACTCCTTTGGCCACCGAGGACCGTGTCTTACCCCCACATTCTCCATGCTCTTCTCAGACGCGACGCAGAAGTGCCACAGACCACCAGCCTGAGACCCCGACCTTCCTGGAACCTCCATCTGGTGGGGATTTGGGAGAAAAGCAGTAAATAATTAAAATGACTTCAGCTGGTCATGGGTGTGATGAAGAGATGAAGCAGGGGCGTCGTGGGAGGCCTCCCTGGGGGGCTGAAGCCTGGCCCGAGAGCTGGGCGCAGGGAAAGAGGCAGCCAAGGGAAAGCCCGTGCAAAGGGAGCAGCACCTGAGTGCAGGCTCGGGCGGAGCAGGGAGGCCAGTGTGGCTGGAGCGGAATGAGGGGCAGACAGGTCTGTGAGGCTGGAGGGCAGCTGAGGGCCAGATCGCCTAGGGCGTTGCAGCTGGGCTCAGAGACTAGATTTCCTTCTGAAAAGCCTCCGTAGGTGACAGGAAGCCTTTGGAAATGAACAGCTCAGAGCACTTCGCACACTCACCTCTCTCCGTCTGGGTTTTATTCCACGTCGAGAGGAAGCCCTGGGAGCTTGTTCATCATTTTTTCGTCCCGGGGGGCCTGCTCCAAGGCACGTGCCCACCAGGATCCCCCAAACTACCTCCTCTTTGCTTTTCTCCAAACAAGACTCACCCCAAGAAAATCCACATTCCCTTTGCTTCCAAACTCTGCTCTTGACACGGGCTGAGGTGGGTGGGGGCGAGGAAGAGGGAGGAGAGGGGAGAGAGGGGCTCTTAATATCCAGCTTGCAGTGTCAGAAGGCAATTTCATGCCTGCCGGTGTGGTCAGAGCGGTGGAAGCAATAGCTGGCAGCTGATGGGCTGCTGGCCCGAGAGGATTCGGAGTCACTGATTTTTTTCCTGCCGGGGATGAGAATTTCTAGCAATGTTCGGCTCTGCCTTCCACTCAGGTGATGCATCTCAGTGGCCTGGGGCGTGAACCGTGTTATTAGAGAAGATGATGATAATTTGCCACGACCAGTGTTCGCTCCCACCCCGCAAGCCTCTGACCCCTGCACCACCGCTGGGCCCTGCGGGCAGGCGCTCAGCTGGCTCCGGATTGCGGAATTAGCTGTGCAGAGGTTGCGCGGGCCCGAACCCCGCCTCTGCCGCTGCCCACTCAGGTCACCTTGGACAAACTGTCTAGTTTCTGCAGTTCTCAGGCTCCTTACCATGGCAGGACAAGAGCAATTCCTGCCTTGTGGGATGTTAGGAGGGTGAATGAGATGGTGCGAGCACGTAGTGGGATAATCGAGGAGCTGATGTGGGCTGACAGCAGGTGCTCTGTCAGTGTTTGCTTAGAAAAAGAAGAAAGGCCACGAGGATCACAGAAAGGATCTCAGAATACTGCGGGAGTTTTTGAGGCTGGAACTCTGGGTGTGCCTATGAAGTTGAGAGGTTTTTATAAAACTAGTAGCACCCAGCTGGTGCTATCCGAAATACTGAGCCTCACAAAGCATCTTTGTTCCAGGAGCAGGGGCCGTCTCAGTGTGGGATCCAGGAAACCAGCTCTTCTTCCCCAGAGTGTTTCCCCTCTCGCCCTAGACACCTGTGGGCATGGGGTCATTTCTTAGGACACTGTTATCCTCCATGAGCTTCCAGCAAATGCCACATGTGGAATGTCTACATGTGCTCAGCACTTAATAAAACCGCAGCCCTCCCTGGCGGTGCAGCAGGCTGAAGCACAGCACCTTGGAGCCATCCACAGCCACTGCAGCATGACTTCAGTTCCCAGCCATGTGACCCACGTGGCCCAGCAGCCCTCGCCTGTCTCCCCGCTGCCCCCCTCAGCAGTGTGTCTCAGTAGATCTGCCTGTTGTGCTCCCCACTCTGTCGCTGGTGAGTCCTCTCACCTCCCACATCTCTGGCCTGTACCCCAGTTCTTGTAAGCATAAATAAATAAAATAAAACCACGCAGCACCTATGAAGGAAGCACATGTCCATCGCACAGAGGAGGACATGGAGGCCTTTAGCCTGGCGCCTTCAGGCCAAAGCGATTTAATTGGAAGTTTCCCGGACTCCAAGTCTGTGGACTCAACCACTACTCATCACTGACCCTCGGCCTCGCTCCAGCCTCATGCATTCCCAAATCACCTTCTAGGCTCCAGGGAGGCTGGCCCATCCACCCCAGTGGTCAGCCGGACAGACAGAGGAAGCAGGAAGAGCTGACAGATGAGGAGAAGGAAATCATCAACAGTGTGATTGCTCGTGCTGAAAAAATGGAAGAGATGGAGCAGGAGCGAATTGGGTAAGCCTGACACTTCTCCTCCTCCCTAAGTGCTCGAGGCCTGAGGGCCAGGAGCTGGTGTGCCCTGGGGTTGGCTAGGTGTGGCCCACCAGGACGCCATTCAAATGGAAGGGGCGGGGCTGGCTGGGAGCCTCCTAGGGCCCAAGAGAGGCTCTCCTGAGAGATGGGTTGCTGGGAGATCACGGGAGACAGGGAGTGTGAGCAAAGAGCATGTGAAAGAGCGAGAGCGCTCCTCAGTGATTGTGGAGAAGGGGAGAGATGCGCCCCGAAAGTGGAGGCCGCCTGGGGAAACTGGAACGATGGTTTCATCCCAGCTCCAGCTCCAGCACGGTGAGCCTGGGCCTGTGCGGCTGGGTGTGGCCTCAGCTGCTGAGCTTGGTGCTCGGGGAGGGGAACCCCAGCGGGCCCCCCCCCCCCGGGAGGAGGCCCAGGCCCAGGCTGTGGTGATACTTCATGGTGAGTCAATGGGAAGAAGAGAAGGAAAAGGGGTTTTCAGAGCACAGAGGGACACGAATGCACACAGCAGAGACGCCGGGCATAAAGGGTGTGCGAAGTGTGCGCGGGGTGTCAAGGCCAGAGTGTCACGCCGATGAGGAAGGTCAGAGCTGGGGGCTGGGGGGACATGGTAGGTGGGCCGAGAAGGGGTGACGGGCGGGGAAACGGGAGGGGTGACCACTGAGACCACAGGGTGAGCCTGGGGGTGGCTCGGCGTGGGGGGCTTCCCCCGGGAGCAGGGGAGCCACCACGGCTCCTCCAGGACTGGAATCTCTCAGGAAAGGGGGCGTGTGGGGCACCTTCTCCACCCCGGCCTCCCCACAGGGCCGCGGCTCTGGCTACCTGCAGCTGCGGTGTCTGCTCGCCCCGAGCTCGGCGGGCTCCCGGGGCGCTCAGGGAACAACGTTGTGCACGCGGAGGTGGGTGCCTTTGATTTGCGCCCCTGCAGATCACTTTCCTCAAGGCGGGCGGGGGCGGGGAGAGCGAGGTGCCCTTGACAGATGACACTCGCCACCTGGCTTCCCGCTGGACCCTTCCCCAGGAGGCGGCGGTCTCCAAGCGGCTTGTCGGGGGTTACATCAGGCCAGGGCACTTTCCAGGCTGCCGTCTCTGTGTGTCGCATGAGAGTGTGCAGAGTGTAGCTGCGTGTGTAGGTCTCAGGTGCGTGTGCACGTCACACGTCCGTGAGCCTCAGCCTCATGGGAAGGAAGGTGGGGAATAGACACTCACGTGAACGTCTAGAAGCAAGAACTCAACCACTCGCCACCAGGGAACGCATTTTGTGTTTGGAACACCCATCCAGAGTTGCCTGCGGCTGGGCACTCCTGCCCTGTTCGTTCACCCTGGAATCCCCAGACTCAGAAATGTGCTCTTGACTTTAACAAGCCTTTCTTGAAATCCTGGCTCCAAACTCTGAGCCTCGCAAACATGGGAAGGTGAATGGCTCAGGTCAGGAGGGAGCATGGGGCTTGGAAACCCAGCTGCCCGGTCCTGGAGCTTCCAGCATCGTTAACCCTGTCGCCTCCGAAACGGCCAGAGTGGTCTCCAGGTTCTGAGAGGTGTGGGACGGGTAATTGCTCTCAGGCCTCCCGGGAGCTGCTGCCTTCCTGCAGCAATTATGCTGGAGTTAGCACATCGGGAGCCGGGCTGCGCAGACCCGCTGTCTCCCTGGAGCCTCGTTGCTCTGCCACGGAGCGTCAGTACCTTTCCTCACCTCTCCGTCCACTACCCAGCCTCAGCATTCCCCATGGGGACAGATGGCCAGAAAGGAAACTCATCTGGCAGCCTCATTTTGCACCCCAACCCACAGTTTTTTTTCAAGAGCAAAGTGTGATGTCGGAGCTTATTTCCCTGACTGTTACAGGCTCTCTGTCACAGAAGGACTCTTTACTTGGAGAAAGGAAAGTAATGCTAAGTAGGTTGGTTCCATCATCCACTGCTACATAACAAATCACTCAAATTTAGTGACCCGAGCGAACACCCTGCCGCGGTCCTGTCGGCTCTGAGTTCTGGCAGAGCTCTGCTGGGTCGGTTTTCCGCTCCCTGTGGCACAGGGCCGGGGGCTCCGTCACAGCTGGAGGCTGGGCTGGGCTAGAGGTGCACAGACGTCACGCCCGTTTCCGTGCCTTGGTGGGCGCTCCGTGGCCCCTCCCGTCCTATGGGCTCTCTCCTGTTCTGTCGCCTGACCTTCGCGTGACGTGGATACTGAGTGCGCACAGACACCACTTGCCAGGCCTCTCAGCAGCTGGGTCTGGAGCTGGAAGACCCTCACCCCATAGATTCTACTTTGGGGAAGAATGATTTATGGGTCCAGATGGTACAGACCCCCACAAGTGTGGGCTCGAGGGCCCCCTGGGAGAGAGAATTCATCAGGGAGTATTGTATAACCAGGCCAGGTTTAGTGAAGACTTGTGCTGAGGGAACCGGTGCCAGAGGGGGACATTTTTAGCCTGGCTCCCCGGTGGGAGCTGGGGGTGGGGTTTTTCCCCACCTTCTAAACACTATGTTGACTTTTATTTCATCATCTTTCAGCCTCTATACACATGGATGCTCGTTTTTATTTTTATTTATTTTAATTAATTTGTTTTCTTACATTGTTTATTTTTATACAATAGGTGATTTCTCCCATGGGTGTAGTCGCTGTCGTTCTCCCACCACCAAAGCACCCAAGAACCATCACCACGGTCCCTTGTGCTCTTCCCTCCCCTGTCTTGATTCCTCTCCAGCCCTCAAATCTGTGAGCTATTTGGAGTTTTGTCTTTCTCTTGACTTTTTGTTCAGTTTATCTATATTCCACATGTAAAGTGAAACCATCTGATATTTATCTTTTTCCTTCTGACTTACTTTGCCTGGCATAATCCCTTTCGGCTCGATGCACGTTGCTGCAAATGGCTTGAGTTTATCTTTTTGAGCCCTGAGTAGTATTCCATTGTGTATATAGACCACAACTTTTTGATCCATTCATCTGTTTTGCAGCATTTAGGTTTCTCCCATGTGTTAGCTACTGTAAATAGTGCTGCAATAAGCATCAGGGACAGATTATCTTTTAAATTACTGTTTTTGTGGATTTTTTGATAGATTCCTAGGGGTGGAATTGCTGGCTCATATGGCATATTCATTTTTTAGTATTTTAAGGAAACTCCACATAGCTTTCCATAGTGTCTGGGCCGGTTTACACTCCTACCAGCAGTATACGAGGTTTCCTTTTTCTAGAAGGGTTTTTTAAGGGTCGTTTTACCAACTCAGGAGAAAGGAGAGCAGTGTCGTAGCATGGACTGGACTGACCACAATAGGGCCTGCAGATGGGCTACAGCGATCTTCATCTAATGCATGTTTCATTAGCGTATAAAATCCCCACCCAGGAATGTGCATGTTAACATGTTGAGATTGGTCATTCTCCATGAGGATTTTTTTTTATTTGTGCATACAGAACTGGGGTACAGGCCAGAGGCTCAGGGGCGGCGAGAGGCTTCCCCAGAGACAGAGTGGGGAGCAGAACAGGCAGATGGAC